CGACGTTTTTGATCTCGAAGTGGATTTTCATGAACTCCATGATGGCCTGGCGGCTCAGGCATTGCGCGGACACCATCGCTGAGTCGTGGCGTCGCTGGCGTGCCCCAGCCCTTGGCTTGATCCAGTAGCTGCGCGGACAGGGGAACGGCGGGAGCCCAGAACCGGAGTTCGTACTCAGAGTTAAAAATGGTTAAAAAATGTATTGGAAATGGTAAAAACATGGTCGAAATCAGGCCCAGAGGCCCCCTGGCCGTTTGGGGAAGCTCTGCTGGCTGCTTTCTGGTGGCTGCTCTCACTGCGCGCGCAGCCGCTGGATCAAGCCAGCCGCTGGAGCTCGGCAAAGGGCTGGGCGCAAACCAAGTAGTAGTAGTAGTAGTAGTAGTAGTAGTAGTAGTAGTAGTAGTAGTAGTAGTAGTAGTAGTAGTAGTAGTAGTAGTAGTAGTAGTAGTAGTAGTAGTAGTAGTAGTAGTAGTAGTAGTAGTAGTACTAGTAGTAGTAGTAGTAGTAGTAGTAGTAGTAGTAGTAGTAGTAGTAGTAGTAGTAGTAGTAGTAGTAGTAGTAGTAGTAGTAGTAGTAGTCGTAGTAGTCGTAGTAGTAGTAGTCGTAGTAGTAGTAGTAGTAGTAGTAGTAGTAGTAGTAGTAGTAGTAGTAGTAGTAGTAGTAGTAGTAGTAGTAGTAGTAGTAGTAGTAGTAGTAGTAGTAGTAGTAGTAGTAGTAGTAGTAGTAGTAGTAGTAGTAGTAGTAGTAGTAGTAGTAGTAGTAGTAGTAGTAGTAGTAGTAGTAGTAGTAGTAGTAGTAGTAGTAGTAGTAGTAGTAGCAGCAGCAGCAGCAGCAGCAGCAGCAGCAGCAGCAGCAGCAGTAGTAGTAGTAGTAGTAGTAGTAGTAGTAGTAGTAGTAGTACTCGTACGGTAGAGATCTGACCTGGAAATGAAATAAACATGATTCATTTTTTTAGCATTTCTAATTTTTATGTTGAGATCTAAAAATGGTAGAAAAATGTTTTTCAAGATGCCGAGCTGGAAATGGTGAAAAAATGTCCAGACCATTTTTAACGCCAACCAAGTAGATGGTGAAGGGCGGGCATTGCATTAAGAGGGCGGGGTGCACAGTAGACACTAGAGGGCTGAGAAAAGAGAGCGGAGGTCAGAAAACACAGAGAGTAGACGGTATAGTGTGAACGGCCACAAACGTCAGCCTCTGCCCTCGCTCACGACCAGTGCACCCCCCTCACGTGCCACGCGCGAAGAACTTGCTGTGCATTCTCTGGTGTGGTCTGACTGAACCTCGGCCTCCGAAAGGGCATGTCACGTGGAGGCTCGGGTGCGCCGCAGGGGGGAGGCTAGGATGGCAAGGGGTAGCGCATCATGGCCCAGGGCACGTGCGCCGACGACAGGGCGCATGGAACGCATGGAACGAAGCAGCGGGGGCCTGGAGATCTGGCGGATGCCATGGACCCCGGCCATGATACCACTCACACCCCTGAACCTCGCCCCCCTCTGCGGGGCCCCCCGTTTCATCTTCTCCTCCGGACGGCGGCCTCTGGCCCTCGCCGAGGGGCCACGCCGGCCACGCACGTGCCACGCCGTGCCGCACGCGCGCGATGAGCGAGCACGCGCGCACGAAACGGCCATGCCGAGCGCAGGGGCCCAGCACCGGAGAGGGGCAGCCCGCCGCGGCCGCCGAGGCGCCCTCCAGAGCACGAGAAACCGCAGCGCCGCCTTCAGCGTCCTCCCGCAAGGCTCCGCCGCGCGGCAACACGCGTGGCCAATCACGTCCGCGGGGCCGCGGGGCCAGGCGCCGCCGGTCGCCGCCTCAATCCGCGCCCTCGTGGGGCGCCTCGACCCCAGTGCGGGCCTGGAGCGTCGACGCCCTGCGCCCTTCGGCCAGGCGCCCCGGGTGCCTTCCGGGCTGAGGAGGAGGGCCTCCTCTGGGGTGCCCCGCCGATTCGGCGTCCCAAAACCGTGTGGCGGCAGACCCGCCGGCGACCTCGAAACCCACAAAGGGGCCTCACAGCAGGGTCCGTCACCGCACGGTTTGGGGACCTCGGAGGCCACGGTCGCCCGAGCCATCCTCGTAGAACGGCCCAAGCAAGACCGTGCAGTGGCCCCGAAGCCCCAGGGACTCACCACACGGTGTGGTCACCACGCCGTGTGGGGGCCCCCGAGCCTGGTCTTGTGGCGGCCGCAACCGGCCCGCGCTTTGACCCCCCAGAACCCGCTGAGGCCTTACGGCGCTGGGGGTCCAGGGCTCCAGGCTCCGACGAGCCAACGCAGTGCGCAGCTTCGAGTTTCGGGGAGGGGGAGGGAGGGAGTAACCGGTCTCACACTTATCCCTACCCCTAAGATCGGCAAACCCAAAGCGCTGACGACCTTGGGGATGTGCCCTCAGAAACTGAGGAAGCCCATAAGGTCGGCACCATGGTATGGTGATGCCAAACAAAGTGATAGGGATGCGCTTTGAACTGGCAAAGAAGGGGGGCGCAGGAACGAGGATGAGCGAGGGGGGGCGAAGCGGGCAGGAGCGAGCGAGGCAGGAGGGGCCGAGCGAGCCCGGGGGCAAGGGGCCGTGGAGCGAGAAAGACGCAGGCGGAGGGCAGCAGCTGGGGGCGCAAAAAGAGACCCCTGCAGTCGCACTGCTGACAGAAAGAACTGCACACCAGGAACGGAGCCCCCCTCTCCGGCCCCCAAAACCGCCTGCGTGCACAGGGAAAGGCCAGAGGAACAGCCCGGGAAGGACCCGAAGAACATCGGGCCCCACCCGAACACAGGCAGGCGTGCCGGTGCACTTCTTGCCAGGCATGCTGCCGAGAGCCGGGCCGACGCACGCCCCCGGCACGAGGCAGGGGCGCACGGCAGAGCGGCCAGCCGCAGCACGCAGCAAGCCGGTGGCTGTGGAGCGGCTGGTCCGCGACATAAGCGTGCGGTTGGGGAGGCATAACAGTGTGCCGATGATAAAAAAGGACCCCCCCCTTAACATGCTAGAGTTGATTATCCACGGGCAACGGCTCGATCCTCTGCTTTCGGTCCTCTTAACATCATCTCTTTCTCCTCCCATCCACATGCTGGCCTCCAGTAGGCAACATGTATAATCCCCCCGCAACCCCGACTTGTATTATCCCTTGGGCATTAATCTCGGCACCACAGGGTTAAGACTCGGGTGCGGGGGACTCGGGTTGGCCTCGCGGGGCCGGCATAAAAATGGGGAGGCCGAATCTGGAACCTGGCGCGAGCTCCCGCCGCAGACACCCCCCCTGGAAAGCGGACCGTCAAATCCAGGACGCGCTCGTCAGAAGACGTCCGCAAGCCCGAGTTCTGGCTTGCTCGAGTCTTATACGTTTCCCCGATACGGCAGGTTCGCGTCGTGACGACCTGGGCGTTGGTTCCTGACACCGAGGGGGTCGTTCAATCTGGAACGCTCGGCGGCTTCCGGAACGTCGGATCGTTCAACATCGACCGATCACACATCGCCGGCGGCGTGCCACGTTGAACGCCGGCGGCGGGGTCGCCGCCGGTCGACACGACGCGAACCTACCACACCTTGTCCCCCCCGAAGGACAGTCAAGCCGTATCCTAAGGATGCGCGGCAAGGATGAAGGGCCTTGGATGGCCAAGTTGAAGTTTTTCGAACGAGGTTGGCCAGGGAAAGTCGCTAAGGATGGGCCGAAGTGGCAAAGGATGCAGGGGCACCCTTGGGAAAGTTGCCCATCCTGACTCTGCGGGTTGACTGCAGGGGGGGGCCGCTGCCGCCGACAGGGCGCGTGGGAGGCGGCGGCACCGCGCGGCGGGCGGCGCGGCTCGGCGGGGGCCAAGGCTCCTTCTGCACAAGCTCCTGGAACACGCTCCGGGAGATCGGCATGAAGGGCTCGGCGGCCTGTCGGGCGGGTGGTAGCACAGTCAGCCGGCGCAAAAAAGAGGACGCAGGATACCGATGCAAGGGCCTCGGAAGGCCACCTCGAAGCTTTTCGAGAGGAGGGCGGCCAGCCAACTTGGCCACGGATGGACCGAAGGGGCAGGGATGCAAGGGTACTCCAGGAGGCTACCCCTTCTTGTTGTGCGGGTATGCGGGCTGACTGTATAGGGGGGGACCCAACGCAGGGGGGAAGAAACAGGCCCCAACGGGAGAGCCTTGTAGGGCCCCTTTGGGGCACCTGCTGGCTCCAAGAGGCGCCCTCTCGAGGGCTCCTTCAGGGCCCTCTTTTCTCCACCCCCAGCTGTGGGCCACCCTCCATTGCCACCCGCCTGGCTGAGGGGGGGAAGGCAGCCCCCCCGTGCTCTCCGGAGGCCCCCCTCCCCCGCGACACCCCTTTGGCGCGAGCCGCCGAAAAAGAGGCCGGGATAGTGACGAGCGCTGAGCAGGGACCGACCGCCCCGGCATTCTCATAGGCGTATCACGGCATGTTCTTCGAACCAAAAAATCGAAGAACATGACGGTAACACGTCCTTCGAACCAACGTGTTCTTCTCTTAGAACATGAAGCCGATGCCGATGTATGAGAACAAGACGGTCTCAGCCAAAAGTGCTCAAAGATGATTACAACATTCTTCGGTGGGCCTTTAAGCAAGCCGCAACGCTTCGCCACTGCTTGAGAGCGGCGAGCATAATCCGTGTCTGCGCCCTCGCGATCTGGACTCCGGGGCGCGATCCGACGGATGCGTGGCCGAACGGAAACGTTACGCGTGGAAGCCCAGCGAAAAAAACGCCCCCCGCGCCCATGGGGTCGCGGCACATGGGGCCCGACCCGATAGGCGGCAGATATACGGACATGCTGTTCGAACACGACACGAGGCGCATCCTCGACGGGGTCCGAGTCCCTGATGCGCCGGCGGCACATCTTACCAGCCTCGAACGTATCCCTATCCCTAAGATTGACACGCCAAAAGGCGATGACAATCTTAGGAATTCGCCCTCAAAAAATAAGGGAATCCCTAAGATTGGCATCGTGATGAGGAGGTGCCCAGCATAGGGATAGGGATATGTCCCAGGCTGGTAAACATCGCTGATGCATCAGAGACGCGTCGGCGACGTCGGCGATGCGTCGGCGCCGTCGGCGTGGAGATAATCGGGCTCTACGTCGAGCCGCCTCGGCGATGCAGCGCGAGCCTCCGACCCCACTTGCCCGAACCCCATGAGGGAGGCCTGGCCTGGACACGGAGATGTGTCTCGCTCGCGAGATACAGCCATCGCCCTTCCAGAAGGAACGCACACAAACTAACGAAGGGGCGTGTCTGACAAAGGCGAGCCTAGGCCACAAGCAGGTCTCACGACGTACAACTCTCAGGAACGGCCCAGGAACCCGAGCTCCACCTGAGCCCAAAACTATCCTCAGTTCATGACTGCAAAGACACAACACCAACATGGCATAAACTGTCGGAGGCCCGCGCAGAGTTCTTGCATCGGCGCTGGACCCCCTCTCCCTGGCGCGCGGAGCGCGCCAGGGGCGGTGCTGCAGGCGCCGCCAGAGAGCTCCAGCGCCGATCTTGGAAACCCGCGCGGACCTCCAGAAGTTCATGTTTGCGTCATTTCACCGCTCCCCGATCAGAGCGCCCCCCGCAGGCATGGGGAGGGGGGCGAAGATCGGGGGCGACGATCGCGCCGATCTTGGAAACCCGCGCGGAGCTCCAGAAGTTCATGTTTGCGTCATTTCACCGCTCCCCGATCAGAGCGCCCCCCGCGGGCACGGGGAGGGGGGCGAAGACCGGGGGCGACGACCGGGGCGGACGGCCCAGGGGGGAGCAAATACAGGAATCCACGAGAGCCCGTGGTCCACATCTTCGGCGAGGCTCCCCCGCGAAAACGCACCATGCCCGCCCCAGGACTGTTCGCCCCTCTCGTCGCCTCCGAGAGGAGGCGGGGGGGGGGGGGGGGGGTAGCCAAAAGACACGGAGACCGCTCCCCCCCGGACCTCTCCCGGGGTGCGTTCTGACCAGGATTTCGAGGCGAACCCGGCGGCGGCGACGAGGGCCTCCCAGGAGGCCCCAAAGGGGGAAAACAGGGGGAGGGGCGGCGGCAGTGGCACCCTCTCCTCCTCGCAGGGGGGGGGGGGCGGGGCGGGCGGGGGCCCAAAGCAGGCGCGGGGAGCGGAGCCAGCGGGGGGGCGAGGCGAGGGGCGGAGGGGAGCGCGGCCAGCTCCGAGGAGCTGGAGCCCAGCTTGCCGTGCGGGCACCTGTCGCCCTCTCCCGCCCTCGCGCGGCCGAGGCCCCCGCAGGGGAGAGAGAGAGAGAGGGGCTGCGCGGGGGAGAAGGGGGGCGGGCGGAGCGGAGGACGGGGGGGAGGGGGGGGTCTTCTCCTCGCCGGGAGTGCAGCACACTCAGCCTGCACGATCGCACCGAGGCCCCCGTGGGGAGAAGGGGCGGGGGCAGGGGGGGAGGGTGGAGCGGAGGAGGGAGAAGGGCGTTTTTCCTCGACGGGAGTGCAGCACAAGGCTGCACGAGCGTACCGAGGCCCCCATGGGAGGGGGCCGGGGCAGGGGGAGGGAGAGCGGACGAGGGAGAAACGGTTCTTCCTCTACGGAATTGCAGCACGCACAAACACACACAGTTTGCACGATCGTACCGAGGTCCCCAGGGAAGGGGCCGGGGCAGGGGGGAGGGTGGGAGTGGAGGAGGGGGAATGATGTCTTTCCTGCACGGAAGTCAAGCATGCTCAGTCTGCGGAATCGCACCGAGGCCCCAAAGGGGGAGAGGGCCGGGGCAGGGGGGGGAGCGGACGAGGGAGAAGGATATTTTCCTCTGCGAAAGTGCAGCGCTGACTCCAGGGAAGAAAGGGCGGGGGCAGGGGGGGAGGGTGGAGCGGAGGAGAGAGAAGGATGTCCTCCCTCTGCGACAATGTCGGATGCTTAGTCTGCGGAAGCGCACCGAAGCCCCCAAGGGAGGGGGCCGTTGCAGGGGGGGGAAGCGGACGAGGGAACAGGATTCTTTCTTCTGCGGGTAAGCAGCATACTCAGTTTGCACGGTCGTACCGAGGCCCCCAGGGAAGGGGACTGGGCCACCAGGGGGGAGGGTGGAGCGGAGGAGGAAGAAGGAAAATTGTAGCATACCTGGCCGTGGCTGCGGCACCCCAAGGAGGGGGAGCCGACAGGGAGGGTTGCCGCGCCCCCGGTGAGGCTCGAATCTTTTTTTTTACGTGATTCGGTTGGTCGGATGCTCGCTGCGGCCCGCTGGAAGAACGGGCAGGGGGGGGGGAGGAAAGCAGGTCGGGAGTAGGGCAGGGGGGGGGGGATGATGGAGGAGAAGAGAGGGGAGGAGGGGCAAGGAGGGAGGGGGGGAGAAGAAGGGGGGGAGCAGAGCGGGGGGGGAGGAGGGCGGGGGGGGGGAGGGCAGAGCGGATGAGGGCGGAGGAAGGGGGGGGAGCCCCAGAGGAGCAGAGAGTTCCTTCAGAAAATCATGCGGAGAGGGACGACGTGCATGAAGAGGAGAAGGGGAAGCCTCCTCACTTTCTTCCCACTGCTCTGGCAAGCTCCTCTGGGCTCGACTCCCACGCACTGAATTCTCTGAGGGAAAAGACAGGGCGGGCAACAAGATACGCGGGCGTCTATAGACGCTGCACGGCCACAACTAAACCACGGTGCCCAGTAGGAAGTGGAAGAATGACGGCAGGAGGTGGAGGCGGAGGAGAACTCTCACTCCTGCAAGCATGCCGAACCCGTCCATGCTTCCAAATGCCCACCAATCACCGTCCCAGGCGTTCGGAGCCCCACCAACAAGCGATTTGAGAAGGGGGCGGGCTGGTGGAGGATGCCGCGCGCCCCCGCCGCGCCCAAGAAACTGGAGAGATCTGTCACCAGAACACCGAGCCCATCGACCCGATCCCGAACTCACCGCTCACCGTGGAAGACCTCGAGAAAACTCTGCGTGCGCCGAGAACTGTCGAAGGCGTTGGGGAAACAGCCACTCCCGCCCCCCCCCCAGGCAGCACAGGTGCTCGAAGTTGTCGATCGGCCCGGGCTGGCTCCTGGGCGGTGGGCTCGGCGGGCACTGCTTCGCCAAGCACTCGCTATCCGAATACTGCTGGCACGCGCTGGGGTGGAAAGAGCCTTGCAGACCCGTTACCCTGGTTGGCGGCGAAACAGCGTTCAAGAATCCCACCAAACCTCTTGGCGTATGTGGATGAGCGGGTTCGCTCGTTCCCTCCCCATTTCTTCCCACTCGGGTAAGGCTTCTGCGTCTTACTAATATACACCCCCTCACTCACTTGACCGGGACAGGGCCGCCAACCAGAAATAATGAGCCCACCGAACACCATCCCACACAAACAAAAATTCAAAACGCACGCTGATGCAAAATCTGAACCGCGACAGGGCATCCCGCAAGCACTTCACATCGGCGTTCCACCCTCCGCCGCTTCACAGTGGCTTGTGGAAAGGATTGTGGGGCGGGTGTCGACGTATTGCACAATGCGCGTTGCCAAGTGCAGTGGCGCAGCTGGCGAGCTCTGTGCGCGTCGCGCACGCATCGCATTTGGCGCGGCAAGGGCATGTGGCACACTTGGCGCACGTGGCGCTCTGGCGCACCAGGTACAAGGCACTGGGCGCGACTGGCACGCCTGGCACCTGAAGCACCTGGGGCAGCTGATGCGCGTGACGCGCCCAGCGTGCCTGGCTCACCTCGGGCTTCGCGCCACTGTCGTGCGTAGTGTTCCCCAAGTGGTTGCTCATCCGACGGCGACCTCTGCCCATATCGATTGTCGGATGTCGTTCCTGTCGGGGGGGCGGCAGCGAGTGAGCGAAGCTGTTTGTGTTGCTCCCGTTTGGGATGTGACCCTTTTCCGCCTCCCCCCTTGCCTCCCCCTGAACGTATGGCCGTTCGGGCCGCGAGGTGATAAAAGGGCCCGTCCTTTCCCAGGACGGCCCAGCACCCAGGGGGGCGAAACCCCTATCACGCAATACAGTTGCGGCATCGTGGCCCACGTGTCAATGGCCCCAGAGCGTTGCGCGCCGTCGCCGTGGTGGGCGTCATAGTGAGACGCAGGAGGTGGATCGTGAGGATCAGCCTTGATGACTTCGCGTTCTCTCCACCAGACTGGCTGCTGAGATCTCGTCCTTCGGTTTGGATTCGGGTGGTATCCCGGTCTGGGGTCTGGGGGATCAGCGGGGGCAAGGATGGCCACGAGAATCCGTGGAATAATCACTAGATCGATCAAGGTAGGATGTGGGTGATCGGGTGGATGGGAAGGGCTGTCCTCGGACCCCCGCGTTGGCGGTGTAGAAAGAAGGTTCGCGCGGGCTCGGATAACGTGCCACGTGCAGTCAGCCATCGCCAATCCCTGCGCCCCGTGGGGGGTGTGGCGGCGTGCCCGCCCCCCCTCGCCGAGCCAGCTCCCTGGGGAACTCGGATATCGCGTCACCCCCCGGTCAGCGTCGCAGCCGCAGCGACCGTGGCCTCGTCGCGGGGGGCCCTTCTCCCCCCGCCCCGTCGCCTGGCCATGTGCTGCTTGCGGTCGTTCCCCTCTGCTCGGGCCGGGGCGCGCTCCGACCATAGTCGCGAGGAGAATCCAGCCGCGGCGACGAGGGCTCCCCAGGGCGAGCAGCGGCTTCAGCATCCTTCCCTCTTCTGCGGCTCTGCTCTCGCCTCCCCAGGTGGCGCAGACGTGGACCAGCGCATTCGCTGGGTGCCGGCCAGACGCCAACCTCTCGCCACTTGCTCGACCCCACGGCGAGCCCAGCGGATCTCCCGCGGCACAGATGATCCGAATGAGGCATTGCCCCGCTGAGAGGTGGGTGGCAAAACCAGCTCATCACTTCTGGAGGCTCTGGGGGCAATCCAGCGGAACAGTCTTCCCTTACAAAGCCAGACACCCTTCAACATGCCTCGCACAATTTCGCACATCAACTCGCACCACACATTGAATCGCACAACCAGAAAAATCGTGAGACGATGCTGGCACGAGGAGGAAAAAGCAGGACGAAGGGCAATGCAGCGGAGCGTTCCATGACGCGAGTTCAAACAAGATCTCTCGTCGCTTGATCCTGCCGAACGTAGTGGGTGTCTGGAATGCCCTTGGGACGTTCACGAGCCACGAGTACCCCCCCCCCTTCAGCCGGCCAAACGATAGGCGGGTTCGAAAGCAACAACATGGAGCATGAATCCAAAATCAGGGAAAGAAGCACTCCTCCTCGTCATCATGTTCATCCTGCTCCCCAAATTCGTCGATCCTGCTGATCCACAATTCATCCTGTTCCCCAAATTCGTCGCTCCTGCTGATCCACAACCTCTTCTGGCTCCTCCTCCTACTGCGACCCCTCCTCCCAATACTGTATCATGGTATCCCCCTTCTTCGACCCGATTTGACTCCTAACGTGTTCTTGATCGCTTTCCGTGTGAGTGCCTCGACATGGGTTTAGAACAGCATGGCAGGGAGCGGAGCAGGGTCATTGTGGTGAGCCGGACGTACCAGTGCTTCGTGACGAAGACCACGTCCAATTCGGACGGAGGAGCCTGGGAAAACTACAGTCAAGCTCTCGCATACGATAGGAACAAGAAGCGGCGACACCACATGTTACTAGGTTGGACGTGGGTGAGAACCAAGCGCTAACTCCCATAAGCAGCCGCACAATCGACGAGGGGGACCGGAAAGCGTAGATGGAAAGTTCGTTTCTTCCCCCGATGAATTCGAGGAATTCGCCAGCAAGGGTCCGTGAGACTTGCTTGTCCAGGGAACCTTCAAGGCTAGATTGAGACATAGAAGAACACCATTCAAGAACATGAGACCCTCCGCTGGGACAGGAGAATCCTACCAGCCCTGTGGGCGTCGGTGGTCTAGAGTGTTTCCTCTGTTACCCTTCCTACTTCCCCTTCGGGGAGAGGTTTACCCCTCCCCCTACCCCCTCCCCTAGACCTGCACGGGGGGGTCCCCGACGCGTTGGAGCGTCCAAAACGGCCTCGGCGAGAAAACCAAAATCATTTGTTTTACTAAGGTTTTGGCCCCGTTTGGGCATCTTGGGGGGAGAGGCTAATTTAGGACCCCCCTCTCCTGTGATCGACTCCTCCAAGATGGCCCCAAGAGGCGCCCAGGAGGCCCCAAGAGGCCCCGAGATGGCCCCGAGATGGCCCCAAGATGGCCCCAGGTGGCCCCAAGAAGCCCCCAAGAGGCCCCCAGGATGCCCCCAAGAGACTCCCAAGAGACCCCCACGCCCCAAGAGACCCCCCAGAGGCACCCACGACGCTCCAAGAGGCCTCGGCGAGAATGCCAAGGTGTTGGCCACATTTGGGCCTCGGGGGGGGGGGCACTGCTTCAGATGACTCCAAGAGCGCCTGGGAGAGCCCAAGATGACCTCCAAGATGGCTCAAGAGACCCCAAGATGCCTCAAAATGGCTCCCACGATGCTCCACGAGGCCCCAAGACCGCTTCAGGACGGCTCCAAGTGGCCAAAGAGCTCCCCCAGGAGGCCCCGAAGAGGCCAAAATCCTTCCAAAGCCTAAGGAAAAACAATATTTTGGGCTTTCTCGCCTTTTCACTTCCGATGGCCATCCGAGGCTTCAAGATGACTCCAAGATGGCCCAAGAGGGCTCCAAGAGCGCTCCCAAGGCTCTCAAGAGCGCTTCAAGAGGGCCCCAAGAGGCGCCCAGGAGGCCCCAGGAGGCCCCAACAGGCGCCCCAGAGGCCTCCAAGAGGCCCCCAAGAGACCCCCAAGAGGCCCCAAGAAGCTATCCAAGGCACCCAAGACCCTCTAAGAGGCGTCCAGGACCGCCAAGAGGCCCCCAAGACGCTCCAAGAGGCCTCCACTGGGGCACCCTTCCTCTGTGTGCTGCCCACTTCCCTGATCGAGGCACTTCCTCTGGGCATCGTTTCTGGATGGGCTGGTGGGGTGACGCGAAGCGTCTGGAACTCTGCACAAGAACAAACAACACATACGAAGAACATTAGGGTACCCTCCCCGAACCGCCCTCGATCTCATACCTCGGTCCGACCGCACCTGCTCCTCCTCGAAACCCCTCGGGCGAGAAGCACTGTGCACACGCATCGATCGTGAAGGCGACCGTTAGAGGCCTGGAAATGAGGAGCACCAACACCAACACCGGGGGTTGCCTCCACAGGGGGGAGGATGATCCTAGACTTCGGTGCTGGTGGTAGTAGTTCGGTCACCGTGGAAGCCAGAATGTTACCACCATCACCGAGATCGGGATCTTCTTCCCTCGGTGGAGGCACACGGGCCGATATTGGTGCTGGTGTCAACCTCTAGGCCTGCGCGAGCGTGCCCCACGCACCGATCCTGGCCAAGGCCCACCCCGCGCCCAGCAGCGGCGCGGGCGCCTCCCTGGCGACGCCGGGGGGGCGTGCTCGCGCACGGTGCCCCTGCCTTGAAGGGGCCCTGGGACGCACAAATAAATACACACGAATCACAGGGTTCCCCATGTGTTCCCACATGTTCGGGGTGTTTGTCTTCCCCCCCACGTCCCATATTTTCCCATAGTTTCTCCTTGGGATCGGCGATGAATTGTGTCTGTGTGTGTGTGTTTTCCCCTCCTGCTACTTCTTCAAACGAAGCCAGGACGAGGGCCCATTCGGGTGAGGACACAACGAGAATCTCCCAGATCCGGCAGCTCTGGACTTGTGGATGCCACGACAATGGACACCCTAACAGTCCTATCCTTGAATTAAAGGTGTGCTTAACATGTGTAAAACAGATTCTAAAAATGTGTTGCACATGTTTTACATGTTGAAAACATGTTTGAAACATAGACGTCTGGAAATTATTTGGCAGCCTGCTTCCTCTCCATTGGATCGTCCTCCACAACTCTGGACGATGTCTCGGGCGCCGCGGCCTTCTCAGAGCCCCCCGGAGCGCTCGAAGAGCGTTGCGGAACGCTCTGGAACGGAGTCGTCCCCGTCCCAGCCAGACTGTTCGCTCGGGACCGCACCAATCCTGGCCAGCGCTCGGACGTCCATTCCCTGTGTTTTTGTTTCGGTTTCGTGCGTGGTTTTTTCGCCAAATGATCAAGGATGTTCCTAGATTCCTAGATGGTCCTCGCCGAGAAAAAAATGCCCACGTCCGAGCGATGCCAAGAAGCCCAGGTCAGCCAGAGAGGATTGGCTGGCCCCCGTCAGCACTGACCGCCGTTACGCGGGCCACGATGCGCGGTGCTGCCAGAAGAACCCGGAGCGGTGTGCTCTCTCGGGGGCGCACGCGAGAGGCCGCGGGCACGACGACTGAAGGAGCACCCAAACATGCGACGTCCGAGTGTTTGTTGTCAATGCGGGGTCCCCAGAGGACCCGACTACTTGGGGCTGCCAGGCCCTCTACTTGGGGCTGTATGTGTTCATCCCGTGTCGTTGTTTGGCAGTCCCGGGGCCCAGCGAAGCCCCCAGGAGGCCGCAAAGGGCCAAAGACATGCTGCCAGGCTTGCTTCACAACGCGAGCACGTCTGGGTACAGGGTGTGGAGGGTGATCACGAGCTGGGGGAGGGGGGCAATGAGTCGCACTGTCACAAAAAGGCGACTGCCTCGCAAGGCCGTGACCGAAACGCGACCGCCGCGATCGCCGCCACCCCTAGAGGCCTGTGGGCCAACGCAGCTGGAGGGGCAGAGTCAAAGCGTGCATTAAGGATTGGAAGTAAGGACGCAAGACCCTTGGAGGACGAAGCTGGGATGTTTGGGCGGCGGGCGACTAATGAAAATGGCCAAGGACGCACCGCAAACGCAAGGACAAGGAAACCCTAGATGAAGGCGCGCGTCCTAATTAGGCGCGCTGTTTCAGATTTCCCGGATATTCCTCTTCGCCTCCATTTCCCAGATTTCCCAGAAATTAACAAATCTTTTGTGTGGTTGAGCAGTTTGCTATCCCCCCTGAGTCCGCGCGAATCTCTTGGATCGGCGCGGAACCTCCCTCCCTGGCGCGCGCGGCGCGCCGCCAGGGGGACCCAGCGCTGATCCCAGAAATCCGTGCGGGCCTCCCGAAAACGAGGTTGATGTAACTTGCCGTTCTTCGAGAGGGGGAGGGGGACGATGCCCGACGGACCGTTCGCGGATTTCGCGCTGCGCCTCTCGCCATCGTTCGGACGTCCATTCCCCGTGCGTGGTTCGGCTTCGCGCGTGCGTGCATTTATCGCAAAATAACCCAAAAGGCTACTCGATGGTCCTCGCCGGGCAAAAATGCATGCGTCCGAGCGATGCCAAGGCCTTGTACAGGCTCCTCAAGGCCGGGCCGTGGAAGCGCATCTCCTCCGCGCAGGGGCCGGGGCGGGGGGGCTGAGCGGGCATCAGGGCGGTGGCAGGCGAGCAAAAGAGCGGAGTGGGAAGGATGGACGCAGAGGGTGATGAGGGAAGACATCCAACTACACAGCCTCCTCCTCTCTATCATCATCCTCACCCTCGACCCCCTCCTCCCATTCCTCCTGCTCCTCCTCCACACTTCCATATCCATGTTCATCCTCATCATCCTCCCCCTCGTCCCACACGCACACAGAACACACACACACACACACCTAGTCGTCAACCCCCTGTTGGACGACCCCGAAATTCGAGCGATACGGGCAGAACCTCACCCTGCCTGGTGCTCGTACTGATACCGCTGCTCCCCGGAACTCTCCCAGGGTTGCACTCCGACCAGTTGGTATCTCTGGAGGAGAGAGGAGGACCGTGACCAAGACTGAACGCGGAAACGTCGGCGTCGATCTTGGTCAACGTCCATCTTGGTCATCGTCACTTCGTGGATCACCCTCTCGAATCGGTGACAGCCGTCATGGACCCAGACCAAGATCCTGCGACGTGTTGATCATGGTCGCTGCACTTACCGAAACAAAAAACATCAACAGAAACGTTCGGAACACCCCGCTCGGATGTCTTCGGTCGGCGCTGGAGGCGCCGCCAGGGGGGGGCCCAGGCGCCGACCCGAGAAAGCCGCGCAGAGCTCCGGAAAGCTAATTACATGCGTGCAGCGGTGTCATTCTCATGTTGTCATGCTCCTCTCCTCGACTGCCTGTTCGAATGTGTTGGGTGCCCGTGCTTATGCTCATGTGCATGCTTGCGTGGCGGCCTCCGCAGCAAGAGGGCTCGAAAGCACCACGGCCGTCTCGTTAGCAGCGATGACCGTGTGCGCTTGGGCCGACCCAAAGACCTCGAAATATGCCCTGCTGCGCTGAGGCTCAGCAGCGCATTAGAGGGATTAGGGCGATGGCTCCGAATTAGTTCAAGGTAAAAGCACAGCACGATGGCCTCCATGAGAGCCTCCTAGATGGGGTCCGAGGATTGCACCGCATCGCCGATGCATCGGCAACGTCGGCGGAACATCGGCGACGCCGGCGTGGAGACAACCTTGCTACATCGAGCCGCATCGCCGATGCATCGGCAATGCAGCGCAATCCCCCGATCCTATCTAAATACTCGGACCCCATCTGGGAGGCCTATAACATCACGATGGCCTCTACCAACCCCGAACCTGTCTTCGAACCCATTTATCTTCCGAAGCCTCAGTCCTCGAACCTTGTTCCTCGAGCCAGCAAAAATGAAGACGCCTGATCTTTCAAAACCAATGGAACAAAGACCTTGGCCGTTTAGGACCCTACTGAGATCCTCCTGGCCTTCTTGGGCCATCTTGGGGGCCTTCTTGGGGACCACCCTTCGGCCACGGCGATACATCGCCGATATATTTGCGATGCTCCCTCCTGTCACAGCGAACCCGCACGTTCCTAGGCGGGGAGGGGCATCAAACCACTACCGCTGCCCCTGAAGATTAAGGAGCCCACAACAGACGTACGCGCCAAACCACGTACGTGAATACGGCCCCCCAGTCCTCCGCGAGACCAGCCTCGTGATATGAACGTTGGCGCGATGCGTACTGTCGAAACCAACGTGGATTCGTGTACTGGCGCCACGCACGAGCAGGCTGCTTCTTAGAAAGCGCGGGCCCTACATCTGCAGACAAGGCCCGCGCCTGCTAAGCAGCCTCCCTCTAAGAAGCCGTCGCCCTCGCCCATACCCCCCTTTTGTGCGCGTGGCCGAGTGTGCGTGCACGCCCTTCCTCCGCTCCTGAAAACGAGGGGCAACATTGGGGGGGGGGACTGACATTGGGGGAGATGCCCCCGCCGACAGGTCGGCGATGGGCCCCCGATCGCGAATCCGCACCATCCTGGGCTGGCCGGGGCTATCGAGCCCGTATGGGCGATCATGGGGCGACTGGGGGTCCATGCACCCCCCCTATGCCTATTCCCCTCCCTGCCGCTGCCCCCGAGCAAGATTGCCTTCCTCGAAACCTCCTCCTCCCCTGCCTGCGGCTGCCCGCGCCGAGGCCGCAGCGGAGGAGCGGCGCGGGGGGGGCGTGCCGCGGCCGCCGCGGAGGCCGCGCCCGCCGCGGCCGCGGGCCCGCGAGGAGAAGGGGGGGTCGCCGGGCGCCCGGGGGCGCACTCACGCGGCGGGCGTGAGGATCGTGATCGCCTGGCCGGGGGGGCCGACTGGAGACCGTCGCTTTAGCGGACGCACAACTGGCCATCGCTCGGACGTCCATGCCCTGTGTTTTTTGTCGCTTTCGTGCGTGGCTTCCGCAGGAAAAATGCACACGTCCGAGCGATGCCAAGACAAGGACACGCGAATGCTGTGTGCCCTCCTCGGAGACGCGCGTCCGACCCGAAGAGCTAGCACAGGCATCTTCTAGTGTCTGTGTATGTAGGGTGTGTGTGTGTGTGCATCGCTCCCCGAGCGGAATGGTCAGAGAGCGCCCGCCGCCGACCATATACTAGAAGACTTCTCGGCGCGCACGTCGCCCCTCTTCGGGGGCGACGCGCACACGCACAATATGAGTATGTTGGGGTGACACCGATTTAGACGCCGCATTGCTTGCAGCGGTTGGTGAGCGTCGGGCCCTCTCGTTTGTTGCGACACAAGAATCATGGGCCTCCGACGCATCGAGCACCAAAGGCGCTCATTTGTGTGGTCGAGCCTCCTCGCCCCTCTCTCAGCTCCTGACTCCAGTCCATTCGCACTGCCGCCACCTGGCCTGCCCGAGCGCGCGTGCGGACCGCCTCTGCCGCGCTGCGGCGTCAACACTCGCGTGGCTGAGTCCCTGCGTGACTTGGCTTCTGGCCGAGCGGCCCGGAGCGCAGAGCTCGGGGGAGCGGGGCACACGAACGCTCCCCGCGCCCCGCCCCCCGCGGTCGCCCGCCCCCGCGCCCGCCCCGCGCGCTGGCGGACTCGCGCGGCAGCATGACTAGACCAGCGCGCCCACGACTTGCAGAAGAACTACTTGCAAATGGCCCGGATTCGCCGCGGGGGGGGACGACCCATTACAACGAGGCGAGCCTGCGTCTCTGTCGGACGTCTGCGGGCAGGCACTTTGCGAGCAGTGGAACGCTCTCGGTGAGCAACAGGATGCCCCTCGGCGATAGCCCAGGGTATCCCCGGGGGGGGGAAGGTGCCGGCCGATAACCAAATCTCTTCTCTTTGGACCGCCACACGTCTGCCCGCGCGCCTCTGCACCGCGCACAGGCGGACATGGAACAGAAAAACACCCTTCAAAAGCATGAGACCATCCGCCGGCCACCAAGAAAAACGCACAAGGACATCCAACGAACACGACGAACCTTGGGGTACCCTCCCCTTGGTCCGGCCGTATGCCCGATCGCACCCGTACCGCGCACTCCCCTCGGACCTGCGCCACCGGCTAGGTCGGGTCATCCGAAGTGGCGTAGGGGCGGGCGGGCTCAAGATCCCGGGCCATCGCCGGACACCATCGGGCCTCTCCACTGACCCGGGCCAGGGCGAGTCGGGGCGAGTCAGGAGGCGTTGCAGGACCCTGCAAGATCCTGCAGGATCTTTTTTTGGGGGGGGAGGGACGCACAATCCGCTGCCCATCAGAGGGGGCGATCCCCGTATCCACCGACGAGCCGTCGCAGAGCCCACGCAGCGGCAGTGCTGTATATTGGCTGGCTGGGTAAACATCACCACAGCCTGGGGGGAAGGAGAAGGGGAGTTAGATCATGCAGAATCCTGCAGGATCCTGCGCCCTGTCCCGGGCAAAAGCGCCCCTGAGCCTGCAGGGTCCTGCAAGATCCCGCGCTCTGGCGGACCCCCGCTTGCACTGACCCCCGTCTCAATCTCAAGGCTCCCGATCCTAAAAAAACAATCTCCTGCTGGGCCCAGAGTGGTTTCTTTAGGGCTCTACGCTCCAGTGCCTCCAAAAACCAGCCAGAATCACGCTGGCGAAAGACGCACCACTGCGGCGGGAGAAACAGTGGCCTGCGTAGGGGAACTACCCAGAGAGGGGAAGCCAGGCACAGAGGAGAAAAAGAGCAGGCGGAGCACGAGATGATGCCCTCGCATCCGACCTTCACCAAGAAATTGCTGACGCGTTTGTCAGTGAGGATGTGCACCAATCTTCTGGTTTGCAGTTCTTGTCAAATTTGTGTCTACATTGACGCATCGCGGTGTGATGGCCCCGGATGTGTTTGGAGATGAGAAATTGTGCCATTGACAACCTTCTCTTGGAGAGGTCTTATCAAGGACGAGCTTCTGGATGAGGCTGCTGGTCCTTTACATATTCTAGGATAAAGGCGTCGTGCAGGTACATCATCAGTGAAGTCCACATCGCCTGTTGGAACTCCTCCTGCAGTGGCCGTTGATCCAAGACTCGCTTGACTTCAGCGGGCAGGATGGCGGAAGGTGCTGGGATCGTGTAGCCGTGAGGGCACGGCGGTCGATCCCATGCCGTAAGCACGGCCGTGTCCAAGGGCGGCATGGTGGTTTCGGGCATGGCCAAAGACGCTCGCACCTTTGCACGTTGGCAAATATTGAAGTTGCTCCTCTTCGACAACGTGTGGTCTTGCATTGAACTCTCGGGTAGTAGTGTCCAGTCCATGGGTCCTGGAGGTATACTGTCGCGGTTGTCCCATTGCCACCTGTAGTTCACCATGTAGAGCTGACCGAGCACCTTGAGCAAACGATCCTACTGCTTTGAACGCGAAGATTGGCGAGCTCCATCTGTGCGGTGAAGAGCTCTTTGAATATGTTCTCGAGGCTGGCAGCCTGTCCATTTGGTTGTAGTGCAGGCGGCAGTGTTTTTCGTGGTTGAGATCCCGTCGCTTCGAGGGGCGAGGCTGGTCTGGCGGGCAATCCTGCCCAGTGGTCTGTTCCTGCTTGATTTGATGGCGGGGATCCGGACGCTGTCGTTCCTGAGAAAAGAATTTAGCAATGCTGCCTAGGTCGTCGAGCAAAGTTGTGGTTCGCTGCGTTGCTGTCGAGATTGGCTTGCGGCGCCTCCCGATGTATCATGGAGACGTTCGGGAACAGTTGCCGTACCACTGTGTCGATGTGATTGCCGAATTTCCTGTCCGTGGACTGGGGCCCGGCGTTCGCGATAACGGCTTTTTTCTCAGTCTCGGACCACAGCAGTGGGGGAAGCTTGTCGCCTGGATCGATGACCACAGACGCTGCGAGATCCACGGGCGTTCCCACGTCTACGATGGGCACGCTGTTTCCTTTGATGACGATGGGTCGGGCTAGAAGTCGAGGAAATGCCACTGCTGCTCGACGCCATGTTGAAGTACTCTGCCGTATTGATGCTGAGTGCCGAAAGAGACCACTTCTTGTGGCTGCGAAGGCATCGAAGACTGGATCGATTGGCAGGGAGCCGATCCCCGCTTTGGAAAGTATGAAGCAACCATCTTAGCCTTGAGCCAACATAGCAACGGAAGGACAAAGACGAGAATGACGACGAGGAGGAGGCAAGGGGCGAGGATAGGGCTGATTACCCAGAGTGAAGCGATAGCGACAAAAGGGGATGAAGATGAGCAGAAGGAGCAGGAGCAAGTGCGCTCAAACTCGCCAAGTGTGCTCATGTTTGACACTTCCTCCGTACGTGTCACTCAAATCGAAGAAGCGAATGCAGGAGGCAGAGGGGCATGATGAGGAGGCGAGTCACGATTGGCAAGTTCGACCAAATCCTCATCATCAGCAGCACCATCATCACCAGCATCATCATCATCATCATCATCATCATCATCATCATCATCATCATCAGCATCAGCACCAGCATCAGCATCACAGCATCAGCATCATCATCAGCATCATCATCGCCATCATCAGCAGAATATTTACCCTCATCCTCATGCTCGTCATCCTCATCATCGTCCTCATTATCATCATCATCCTCATCATCTTCACCACCATCAGCATGGCCATCATCATCGACGTCATCATCATCATCGTCATCGTCATCATCGTCATCGTCAGCAAACTCGTCCTCCTCCTCGTCGCCGTCGTCCTCACCATCGTCGCCGTTAACTCGTCGTCGTCATCGTAATCGTCATCCTGTGCCTATTCATGTGTAAATCCATCTTCATATGCTCATGCTCCTCATCCTCCCTCCCCCTTCTTCCCTCCCCCTCCTCCATCCCGCTTCCATCTCTCCCTCCCTCCCTTCCTCCCTACCTCCCTCCCTCCTTCTCCTCCTCCTTCTCCTCATCCTACCACCCTCGTCTCAGCTCGTCAGAAGTTTCTCCTGGATGATCGCCATGTGCTGCCTGAGCTGACACTTACGAGAACCTCCTCCTTGGCGCCCTGACTGTGGGCGTCTCTTCTCGGGGCCTTGCCAGAAAGAAAAACCGTTCCCCTCACACCCTCCGGCCCCCTCTCTCCCTCACTTCTCCCGCACCTCTCCCCTCGATCCCCCTCTCCCCCCTCCCCTCTCCCTCACCCTCCTCCACCGCCCCCTCCTCTCAACCTCCCCATCCGTCCCCTCCCTCTCCGTCACCCCTCACCCCCTCTCCTATCCCTCCCTCTCCCCTCCTCTCCTCTCCCCCCCACCACCCCCCAGCATCCCCCAGCATCGCCCAGGACCTCCCAGGACCCACCCCGAGCCCCCCGAGCCCCCAGAGCACCCCGAGCCCCATCACACTGCCCCCTCGCACCATCTTGGCGTCGCTCGGACGTCGTCCCTTCCCCGTGCATGTTTCGGTGTCGTGCGTGTGTGTCCGATGGCCCCCGCCGAGCAGAGACGCACGCGTCCGAGCGATGCCGAGCTGTGCCCGCCTCCAGGACGGAGGACCGCCCCCCTGCTGCCTGCTGCTCCGCTGGCTCACACACCCCGCGGCGGGCGCCGGGCCGCGGCGCGAGCGGGCGCCGGGCGCCGCGGCCCCCGGGCCTGCTTCAGGGCGGCGATCTCCTCCTCGCGCTTCTGCACGCGGGTCTGGGGGGGGGGGGGCGGCCGGGCGCGGACGCCCACGCGGGCAAGCGCGCGCTCTACGACTCTCAGGCTAGCTGCTCGCAAGTGGCCTGGACCCAATGCAGCGAGGCCAACAAGCTCCACTGCATCGAAGAGCGTGTGGGTTCTGAGACGTTTGCGAGTAGGCAGTTTGCGAGTAGTGGAAACGCGCTCGGTGACCACGTGCGGTGCGGTGCCTGGGGGCGCGGCTCCTCTTGGGGCGTAGCGGCGGCGCCACGGCGCTCCCCACCAGCCAGTGGTTGCCTTTGGCCCTCGACTGCATCGGCCAAGCCCGTCGGGGGCCTCCTACGCGTCCAGTGCCGCCGAACAGCTCCCAGGGAAGTGGCATTCGGGGGCGACGATAGGGGCGGATAGTCCAGCAGGGAGCGGTGCAACGATGGGGGCGGAGAGCCCAGGAGGGAGCAATACATATGGCCGATTCCGCAAATCCTGAACCCAAAAATGTAGTCATCCCTTGGACGCCTTTTCTTTACTTCCGCCGCCTCCCACCAGCCTTGCGCCAGCTTCTGCCAGCGGAGGCGGCCTCGTTTCTTCTTTCGCCGCCTTTCCGCCGCCCTCCGACGCGGAAGAGGTGACAGCTCCTCCGACCCCCGCACGCGAGGCCCGCTTCGGAGCGCCTCGCGGATCCATTGGAGCCGGTGGTCTGTCTTCGGCGAGGTTCCCCAGCGACCACGTGCAGCGTCGCCCCTGGGCTGCTCGCCCCTGCCTAGTCGCCTCCCGGGCGTGTGCGCCCGGCTCTGGCGCTCCGTGCCCGGCGGCGGGCCTGGGGCCGCGAGGGCGGACCGTCCGTCGGAGGCGTCCGTCGTCCGTCGGAGTTGCCGTTGGCGTCATCGGGGGGAGGGATCCTCCTCCGCCTCCTCCTCCTCCTCCTCCTCCTCCTCCTCTACCTCCTCCTCCTCCACCTCCTCCTTCTCCTCCTCGAGGAGGTGCACAGCCGCAGGAGGGAGGAAGGGCAGGAGCAGGGAGGGCGGCAGGCAGGGAGCGAGGAGGGAGGAGCAGGACTCTCGAGGCAGTCGGACCTGGGCCAGAAGAACATCCCTCAAGAGCACGAGACCCTCCGTCGGCCAAAACAAACAGAACAGAACCTTAGGGCACGCTCCCCGAACAGACCTCGGTATTCTGCCTCGGTCCGGCCGTAATCGGGGGGAGGGACGGCGCGGAGGCGGAGGAGGGGTTCAGATGCAGGGGGGGGAAGGGCATGGGCAGAGAGGGCGGCAGGCAGGGCGCGAGGAGGGAGCAGGGGGGGGAGGAGCAGGTCGAGGAGCACGGGCGGGACGCTTGGCGGTGGTCGATAGGGGAGGAAGGGAGGAGGGAGGAAGGGCGGAGGGGAGCAGCAGGACGAGCCCGAGCAGATCCGGGAGCAGGAGCAGGAGGCCGAGGGCGCGGGGGGGAGCAGGAGCAGGAGCCGCAGGAGGAGCAGGAAGGCGGCCTGATAGTCCTGGCCCATGTCCAGGCACATCGGCTTCAGGTCCTCGACGGTCTTGATGGCCTCGTCCACGAGCCCCTGCAGCGGGAGCGGGGCCACGAGGGCCCTCCCTCCGCTCCGCCTCTCCGCCCCGCCGCCGCCCAGGCCGAGGGAGGGGGCGCGGAGGAGGAGAGAAAAAGAAGAGAAACGGGAGGAGGGGGGAAAGTTGGGGGGAAGAGGGGATGATGAGCACATTGGGCAGGTTGGCGGCGCGCAGAGGGAGGTAGGGGGAGCGGGAAGGCTTCTCAGGAGGAGGCTGCTCCTAAGAGGGCGCCAGCCTTACATCTACAGATGAGGCCGGCGCCTTCTGAGAAGCGGCCTCCTCCTGAGAAGCCTTCCCCCCTCCCCCTACCCCTGCCCCCCTCTGCGCGTGGCCGAAAGAAGAGCAAGCGCTCCAGCACGGAAAAGATCCCGAGGGTACCATAGGCCCCCGGCACTGAGCCCCACAGGCCCCGCACTGAATCTCCTCGTGTTCTCTCATTGTTGGTCCTGCCGCAGTTTCGGGCTGCATACCCATTGTGTCTGCCCGCAGGGTTGCGAAGAAGGTTGGAAGAAAACATGGGTTCCCCAAAAGTTCCAGTGGGCTTCGGATGCCAGTCATGGGGCCTTCCTTACCGTGAGCAACAGCAGGCAATGAAGTTCCAGGCTCCTCCGTCTCTTAATGAGCTGGCCTGGGGAAGCTGGCAAGCTTGGGGGATGGAAAAAATGGTGCGCCGTTGCCACTCTGCCACATGCCGATGCTCTGGTAAATTCATCGCCTGCCTAGTGTGTGGTGACGAGACGCGCTAACAACCATCCCGCTAATGGTGTCTGCGATGTTGTTGTGGATTGTGCTCGCGTAGCCCCGGCACGAACGCATGCACGCATGCATTGTGGTAATTGTTCGGGAGCGTTGCCTGCCCCACTGGATTGGTGTCGTTGCATGCCCTGCTGGCGCGTGTTTGGCATGCATGCCAAATGTTCCCAAACGAAACGCTTCTAGATACCAAACATACCATATACAATTGAACCGTGTTTCACCGTTATTGGCAAAATGCCTGGAACCCCTACAACTCGTTGTATCAAGTAACGTCAGCAAACTAAGAAGGGAAACTGCACAAACCACGAAACACTCCAGCAACGATTGCCGAAACAGTGAACGTGGCCATCACCAGAAATGAGCGCTCGCCTGCCATACACTGGATCACGCATGTGAGCCGCATCACATGCCTTGGCGGCCAAGAACATAGCACACAACCCGTCTGCCTCCGCCGCGGGTTGGTCCAAGCGCTTGCGTGCGCTCGGAGCTCCTCCGAGCACCCAAACTTGGCACTGGGCATGACGCGGGCGACGGACGCAGTGGCCCAGGGCCGCATGGGGCTTGTGATACACAGGACGCCGCCTCACGTCTTGCTCCGCCTGAAGGGACCTTATCGAACACCTCCCTCCTTTCCGACCCCCCTTTGCAAACCGCTGGTCTTCGGCACGCTGAGGCGTGTCAGCACAACTGTCATTAATTCAATGGTAGAGTGTCTAAAGTTTTCAGTGGGCGACCACTCCCTACTCGCCCTTCTGGCACTGGCTTGGACCGCCATAACAAAACTCCACGACGGCATCGAGACCTAACCTAGCAGTGCTAGCACGGGATTGCAATGGCCTGAGGCTCAACCACCCCGAAGATGCCCCCCCTAAGCCCAAAGCGGCCCTTCGAAGCCCCCAGGAGGCGCCAAGGGAATCCTCCAGCAAGGCCTGACAGGCGAACAGTAGATCCTCTGCGATGCGTTGCGGCTTGAGGCGGGCTCCAAAGGCCTCGTGGAGCCTCAAGACAGCCCAAGCGGGCCCCAACAAGCGCCAACGCGGACCCAGCCTGCTGAAGAACCCCGCGGTAGAAGCATCACGGCTAAGACGGCCCACAAGGCTCATGACAGACCCCAGAGGCCGCCAAAAACCCCCAAAGAAAGAGGCCCCCATGAAACCTCCAAGGCGCCTTCAAGAGGGACGAGGGGGGCAGACGCAAAGGGAAGAAGAGGAGGAAGGAGGTGAACGAGGCCGAGGACAAAGAGGGGGTGTTCAAGACCCGCGCAAGCTCAGACAAGGCACCGAAACAGATCAGCTAGTGATATACATATATATATATATATATATATACATATCCGCCGACCCCCTTGTGGGGCCACCAGGCTGCAGGACGAAGGCTCGCAGTTTCCTGTACCAGTTGCAGCTTCCAGTTTCCACTGTTACAGTTCTGCGTCTTGCTGCTTACTGTTCCTAATTGATAGACCGCGCGAGGGGGTGAGGCCCAAAACAAGCATTTGTACCACGCCCTGAGCGTGCTGTCTGAATTGCTGGGGTGGGTAAAAATTAACACCCGTCACGCAGATCGGCGGGGTCAGGGTCCAAAAACACAGAGTTGCCACATTTCTAGAATCCGGTGTCACCCCTCACACAGATCGGCGGGGTCAGGATCCAAAAACACATGGAATTTACCACATGTCTCAAATTTGCTGCCACCCTTCACACAGATCGGCGGGATCAGGGTCCAGAAACACACGGGATGTGCCACATGTCTGACATTCTGTGGCACCCCTCACGCAGATCGGCGGGGTCAGGCTCCAAAAACACAGGAATTTGCATCATTTCTGAAATTCGGTGGCCGTGACGCAGATCGGCGGGGTCAGGGTCCAAAAACAAAAGGGACTTGCCACATGTCTAAACTCGGTGACACCCCTCACGCAGATCGGCAGGGTAAGGGTCAAAAAACGCATGGGATTGGCCACATTTCTAAAATTCGGCGGCACCCCTCACGCAGATCGGCGGGGTCAGGGTCCAAAAACACATGGGACTTGCTACATGTATGAAATTCGGCGGCACCCCTAACGCAGATCCGTCGGGTCAGGGTCCAAAAACACAGGGGATGTGCCCCATTTCTGAAACTCGGTGACACCCGTGACGCAGATCCGTACGGTCAGGGTCGAACAACAATCAGGTCCCGACACTGCTTCACGGCGGCGCCCAGACCTCATGATTTAGCTGTTGCATCTCCCATTATCCGAGACAGGGGGCCGGCGGCATGGGGCGAAGCCGTTACGGACATATATATATATATATATATATATATATACACACCGCTCGTACCTTTTGTATATAAATACATATATCCCTCTATCATTATCTCCCTCTCTCTCTCTCGTTCTTCCTCTACCTCTCTCTCTCTCTCTCTGTATGTGTACGTCTCCCTCTTGCTCTCTCTCTCTCTCTCTCGTTATATATCTATCGACCTCGCACGCTTTATATCGCTGCTAAGAAAGAGGTTGGCATCAAGATTCGCTGTCTCTTGTGCTCCAGCACGGTTTGACCTACCCTCAGCACGTCTGCCTGGCGCAAGTATCCAGCTGCCCATCGCATAGGCACCGCCTCGTCTGCAACATGAATCCGATCTGGCCGCTGATCGCGACAAGTTCGCACTCTAGGAACGAGCACCTGTCGCTGTTACCCTCTCCCACTCGGTGCCGCCCGGACCTGAGTGGTCGTCAACTTCTCCACGCCCTTTTCTATGCTGCTGATGGTCATAGACTGGTCCTTTGGGCATGCTGGACCAAGCAATCACAAAATCATCGCCACGCGAACTCCACCCAGATCGGTAAGTAAGCTCAGAATACAGAGACCACTGCGGAAGCCACTCGCTGCAAAGCTCCTGAAGAAGCCCACTCAGATGGACGGCATCCCCCTAAGACCACAAAGATACACAAACACACACGCACACACCGAACGCATGTGAAACCTGCGAGACCCAAACAGGGGCAAGCAAGATGAGAAGGCAATATGCGACCCCAAATCATTCCGCACCATGCCCTAGTAAACACGCTGCAAGTCAATCGCGATGCGTTGCAGAGCACTAATGAGCAGCTGGCAACCATTGCAATGCTATGCAAGACAGCTCGTCGAGCCCTCAAATCATGGCAAGCGTACCATGCGAACCATACCAGAACACAACAGTGTACGTAATGGCGGTCAAAGGGGCGCAAGTACTATACGTGTATATACACACCAACTACGCATCGGTATGGAATACGAGGCAAAACACACATAGATTTAGCATACAGTGTTAGCCAGCGTAGACCACATAGAGTGGGTTGTCGCACTGCGGAGCTAAAACCTATGCGGTGTCAACTGTGTGGAACATGTTGAGTAAGTACATGCGTGGTGAGCTGTGTGGTGCAAGCCGAGTAGTGCAAGCAGGGCGGTGTGAACTGGAGGCGAGAACTGCGGTGTGTAAGCTGTGATGCAGCGCAAGAGATGCGGGTGGATTACATGCGGTGCAAGCCCTGTGGTGTAAGCCAGCCGACGGAAGCCACGACGTGCAAGCCCAGCGCACGGGGTGCCCACGAGGTGCCCGTGAGGCGGCACGAGGCGCACCCTCCCAGCGCACGGGGCGCCCAGGAGGTGCCCACGGGGCGGCACGAGGCGCCCAGGAAGCGTCAGCGTGGCGAAGACCCAGGATACCCGACCAGCTCCTTGACTGAGGGCGAGCCCGTAAGCGCAAGCACTGGTTCGGGGGAAAGCGTGTGTACCAGCAGAGAGGCTGCACGTGTGCCCTGACAGGAAAATTCAGCGTGCTGGTGTGCCAACGCCTTGCACGTGCCCTGCAGTGCAAAACTAAGCAGTCGCAAGATCTGCGCGATGCACACGTACTCGAGATGACGCAGAGGAGCGCGAAGCAGTGTAACGCAAAGAGCAGTGCCCGGCAGCGCAGACGCAGACGCCGTCGAGTACAGTGGACGAAGGAAAGACTTGGGGCGCAGCAGATGCACCGAGCAGAATGTCCGCAAATCCAGTCGAGTTCTCCGGGCTGAGCATCGTGCACATAACTTCTTGAAGCGGCCCCGAGCACCGAGGTCCAGAATATCTGGGTGCTCCCGAGCGCTCTTTGGGGCTGGTCGCGTAGCTTCTCCAGGGGCCTCGGGAGCGGAACTGCGGGCTGCAGCCTCCACTGCACGTCACGATTGTCCCAGGGGTCCGTGCTGGAGCCCGTTGAGGGGGGCCTCTGGTGCCGTCTTGGAGGCCATGGGGAAACGCCCAAGCGGCCAAAATCACAAACATATCTCAGGCGAGAGATACTTGCTTGGGCTGAAACGTTCTTTCTTGGATGGGAGACCATTGGAAACCTGACCGCACAAGAACGGGAAGCGCCGTTTTTGCTCATAGCAGTGTTTGTCGTCAAAGCTCTGGACGCCAGCATTCGTACTGGGAGCTCTGGCGTTCGAAGCTGCCCACGTCATCGTTCGTAATGGAGCCTTGGGATGTCGTGGTCGGTCTCTCGTAGGCCTCTTAGAAGCAATTCTGAAGCCTCTTGGGGGCCGTTTTTGGGGGCCGTCTTGGGGGCATCTTGGGGGCCTTTTGGGGGCCTCTTGGGGGCCTCTTGGAGCGTCTTGGGAGGCTCCCGGGGGCCTCCTGGACCCTCCGGGGGGGCACTTGGGGCCGAGGACCCGAAAAGCGCGTTCGTGTACCTCGTCTGGGCCCCCTCTAGGAGCCATATTGACGGCCTCTTGGGCCGCCGCGAAGCCTCTTGGGGCCGTCTTGGGGCCGCCTTGGGGCCTTCTGGTGCCTTCTTGGGGCCGTCTTGGGGGCCTCTTGGGCCGTCTTGAGGCGATCTTGGGGGCCTCTTGGGCCGTCTTGGGGCGATCTTGGGGGCCTCTTGGGCCGTCTTGGAGCGTCGGGAAACGGAAAAGGCGAGAACCCCAAAAACCTTCAAAAACTATTCAAAAATCATAGATTTGTGCCTCTTTGGCGCTCTTGTGAGGCCTCTTCGAAGCCTCTTGAGGCGTCTTGGAGGCCTCTTGAGGGCCTCCTGGGCCGTCTTGGAGCTCTCTTGGACCGTCCGGCAGCCATCTTAGGGCATCTTGGAACGCTCTAGGGCGGTCTTGGAGCGCTCTTGGGCCGTCTTGGAGCCCTGGTAGCCGTCTTGGGCGCGTCTTGGTCAGATTTTTTGAGCGGAGTGACAATTTTTCCGCAATTTTCCGGAACCTGACCGGACAAGAACGGGAAGCGCAGTTTTTTATCCACCACGTGCGTCAGAGACCGTATTGGCGAGAACGTCAGAGAACATCCCTGTTGCGTTTCCTGGCTTCGGCGCCGTCTTGGAGGTATCTTGGACGCTCTTGGGGCTGTCGTAGCCTCTGGCCTCTCGGGGGCCTCTTGGGGGAGTCCCGGGGGGGGCCTTCGGGGGCTCTATGGGGCGATATGAAGCTCTCAGGGAACTCCTGGAGCCTTTTCGCGCGTTCTGGGGGACTTCTGGCCGCCTCTTTGGAGCCCCTGGGGGGCTTCTTGGGGGTCTCTTGGGGCGTTTTGGGCGCTCTGGCGGGCCTCTGGCCGCCCCTTGGGGGCCTCTTGGGGGTCTCTTGGGGCGCTCTGGGGGTCCTCTGGGGGGCCTTCGGGGGCTTTCTTGGGCCGTTTGGAGGCCCTCCGGGAGCGATTCCAAGATAATGCTGCTTCGGAGTCCCCTCCGGAGCCGATTTTTTGAGGACGTCCCGAGCGAAACGGCCAATTTTCCGGAACACGGCAGACCACACAGGAGCACGGCAGACCACACAGGACACGGCAGACCCCACGGGAGCACGGCAGACCACACAGGAGCACGGCAAACCACACAAGAGCACGGCAGACCATACAGGAGCACGCCAGACCATTTTGGGGAATCCGTTAACGAAAAATCCCGTGCAGCGCGGCAACCCATATAGTTAAAGAAAAGATATATTTACTCAAGGATTCAGCCAGAACGTCCCGCTTGCTTGTCGTACCTCGAAGACGCTTCCCGTCATCCGCCAACGAGTTTCGGGATGGAGCCCGTACCCCTTAGTTAGAGAACCGCCAACGAGTTTCGGGATGGAGCCCGTACCCCTTAGTTAGAGAATCTCTCTCCCTCTCTATCTCTCTATGTCTCTCTCTTTCTCTGGCTTTAAGCCCCCAAAGCTTCAGCTTCAGCACGGCAGACCAGAACAGCAGACCCGCACGGCAGACCAGCACAACACACCGACACGGCAGACGAGCACGGCAGTCCGGCACGGCAGACCAGCACGGCAGACCAGCACGGCAGCCCATAGGAACATAGCAGACCAGATCATGTCATTGACGCTGCTGTTGTTGGTGATGATCATGTTGCTGCTGATGGTGATGGTGATGCGTACGATGATGATAATGATGATGATGAGGAGGAGGAGGATGATGATGATGAGTATGAGTATGAGTATGGTGATGATGATGGTGATGATGATGATGATGATGATGATGATGATGATGATGATGATGATGATGGACTTCTCGGGGTGTGCTTGGGAGATGTTGGGGTCCTCTGGAGAGCCTTTGGACTAGCAGTTTAAATCTGCGTAGCCGTTGTAACCCGACTCTCGTTTTCTTCATCGGTCTGACCGGTTTATCAGCTTACACGGCACAGCGCAGCAACACGACAGACGGCAGCAGCACGGCAGACCAGGAAGGCAGACCACAGGAGCACGGCAGACCAGAACGGCAGACCAGAACGGCAGACCGCAGGAGCACGGCAGAGCAGCACAGCTGACCACAGGAGAACGGCAGACCAGCACAGCGTTGTTGCAGCAGACGGTGCTGATACACTCTTAATTTATTGAACACGTCCCCAGCGAAATCGTCATGGTCGGCCGTATTGAGGGCACTCTGCGGGTCATCTTTGGGCCGATTTTGTTTTTGGGGGGCCGTACTGATGCCCTCAAAAACGATTCCAAGACGACGTTAGACTCATTGTTTGTTTGATGATTGTTCGGCCGTCTTGAGGGCACTCTTAGGGCATAGTCTGCCGTGCTCCTCGTCTTGGTCTGCCGTGCTCCTCGTCTTGGTCATCCTTTCCGTCGTCTTGAGGGCGCTCTTGGTGCCTGGTCTGCCGTGCTCCTCGTCTTGGTCTGCCGTGCTCCTCTCGGTTTCAGTGCCTGGTCTGCCGTGCTCCTCGTCTTGGTCTGCCGTGCTCCTCTCGGTTCCTGCGCGCGGTCTGCCGTGCTCCTGTGGGGAGCACGGCAGACCACAGGAGCACGGCAGACCACACAGGAGCACCCCGTAGCCATTTTGGCTCAGGCCTGGCTCGGCGCGCGGCGGCGGGCGCCTGGGCATGATGGCGCGGGCGGGGACGCTGGACAGTGTTCCTGGTGCTGCACGCGCTTGCCTCGGCGAGCCGCGGCGGACGCGCGCGGAGCGTTCTGCGGCTCGGAGGCGGGCGCTCGAGGCAGCGGACAGCGGAGTGAAGGCGGCACTCGCGGAGGCAGCGGCCCTGCGCAGCGAGCTGGAAGCCGTTCGGCGGTGCTTCGCGTCCTACGTGGGCGACGCCGAGCTGGCCGACCGCCTGGAGGCGATCGCGCCCGCGCTGACGGCCTTGCTGCGGGGAGTGGCCCCCGAGCAGGAGGATGCAGTGCGGAGGAATGTGGCTCTCCACGCCGACGCCCCTGGGGTCAGGGTTGCGTCGGCGTGTGGCCTCACCCTGCGGCGGCTCCAGCGGTCCGCCAGGCTGGAGGCGAGGCGAGAGCGCAAGTTCGAGTGCCACGTGGAGATTTGCGAGGCGGAGGCGCTGCCGCAGCTCGGCCGAGTTGTGGCCCTGCGCACGGCGTTGCGGTCGGCTGCGAGGCCCTTCGCCCCAGCTGGGGTTGACCCCGTTGCCGGCGGCGGCGGTGCCCAGGTGATGCAGGCCCAGGTCGACGTCGATGAGTGCGACGAGGCGCGGCAGCAACTTAACATGGAGTTCGAGCTGGCTGGGCGCGCCCGCGTTGGGCGTGGCGCCCGCATCGGCGATTGCTACGTGCCTTCCCCTCTCTTCCCTGGGGTGTCGGAGGTTGACTGCGAGGTGGACTTCGTGCAGGCCGCGGGCGCTACGGCGGCGCCGCCGCGCGCTGCTGGCGAGTGCTCCGACTCCGACGGCGTGATCCTCGACGGCGAGGCCGACGTGGCCACCGCTTGCTCGGTTGGGGAGCAGCCAGCTGCCGATGCTGCTGGACATGTTGCTGCCGCCGCCGCCGCGTACGTCGACGCCTTCCCGCAGGCCCTCTTCCGTGGGGGCGGCGGCGCCAGGGCTCGTGGCGAGGTCGCGGCTCGTGATTGGTGGCGTGCGAGGGCGGCCGTCGCCCGCGCTGGGCTCACAGCGGATGCCGCGACGGTGCAGGCGCCCTCGGATGAAGGACCGAGCGTTGGAGGTGCTGCAGGCGGGGCGCCGCTGCCTCCAGGCTTGGATTCGAGGAGTGACTGGAGCAGCGTGGTTAGTCCTCTTGGTGAGACGTGATTTCCCTGCGTGTTCGGAATGCCTCCTGAGTGATGGTTCGCCTTGCACGTCTGTTCTCCATTAGAGGTGGGGGGCTGTGGTTGTTCAGTGGGTTTTGTCTCCTGCATTTGAATGTGCACGTGGTGTATTTGCAATGCAGTCGATTTCGGTTGTGATCATGCGTGGCCTCTGCTCTCGCAGTGCTTGCATGGTTGGCGTGGGCTGGTTGGGGGCCCTGATTGAGGCAAGCAGTTGCTTTCCGTTTCTGCTGCTTACCTTGCGTGCGGACGCTAATTCCGTTTGCTCCGTGCATTCGCATTTCTTGTAGTTGAATGTGTACGTGAGCTCTTCTGTGCAGCTTCGCTGCTTCTGATGCCTCTCGGCACTGCCCGCCCTCGTGGCCCTGGGGCCTAGGCGCCCCCGTTGGCCCTGGCGGGCGTCTGGCGCTCCGCGCCCCCCTGCGGAGGCCCCTTTCGGGCCCCCAGGGTTGGCCCTTGAGGCCCTGGGGCCAATGGGCTCCGTGGGCCTCGGGCTTCTTTTAGCCTTCATAGGCCCCGCACGACACGACACACAGGAGCACGGCAGACCACACCTCGATTTTTTCAGGATGTCTCGAGCGAAATGGCCATTTTGGGGAACCTGACCGGACAAGAACGGGAAGCGCCGTTTTTTATCCACCACGTGCGTCAGAGACCGTATTGGCGAGAACGTCAGAGAAACCCATAAACGCAACAGAACAGACTAAATGATGGCCTGCCGCGTTCCGACGGCCCAAGACGGCCCAAGAGGCCCCCAAGATCGCTTTAAGATCGCCCAAGAGGCCTTCAAGATGGCCCCGAAACGGCCCAAGAAGTCCCCAAGACGGTCCCAAGAGGGCCCTAACACGGCGCAAGAGGCCTCCAAGACGCCCAAGATGTCTTCCAAGACGGCCAAGATGGCCTCCAAGACGGCTAAGATGGCTCCAAGAGGGCCCCAAGACGGCCCAAGAGGCCTCGAAGACGGTCTGCCGTGCTCCTGTGGTCTGCCGTGCTCCTTTGGGGTCTGCCGTGCTCCTGTGGAGTTTGCCGTGCGAACGTGTGGTCTGCCGTGCTCCTGTGTGGTCTGGCGTGCTCCTGTATGGTCTGCCGTGCTCTTGTGTGGTTTGCCGTGCTCCTGTGTGGTCTGCCGTGCTCCCGTGGGGTCTGCCGTGTCCTGTGTGGTCTGCCGTGCTCCTGTGTGGTCTGCCGTGCTCCTGTGTGGTCTGCCGTGTTCCTTCTTGGTCTGCCGTGCTCATGTGCGGTCTGCCGTGCTCCTGTGCGGTCTGCCGTGCGAACGTGTGGACTGCCGTGCTCATTTGGGGTCTGCCTTGCTCCTTTGTGGTTTGCCGCGCTCCTGTGTGGTCTGCCGTGCTCCTGTGTGGTCAGCAGACCCAGGGCTGAGGGAAGGCTGGAGCAGTGCTCTGGTGGTCCATCACCCGCCCAGCTCCGTCCCCTCCCACTCTGGACCGATCTTGCGGGAAGCTGGCTTGTGGCAGCGCATCGCGCGTCCATAGCGTTCGTGTGCTTGCTTTTACCTCCTTTAATGTCTGCTCCACCTCTCCTTGAGACGCAGAAGCCTCCGAGCGCCGGGAGCAGAAATGATGCACTTTCGAAAAATCTGTTTGGATGAGTTTTGTTAGCGCGGCCTCGGAATTCAATTTTTCCGGCGACGGCCAGAGCCGACGCCAGCGCTGGATCCGGCTCGGCCGCCAGCCCAGGTGCCGGCCCGGGCGTTCGGTTCGAGCGCCGGCCTGGGTGCCGGAATCGGCCCGGAAGGGGTTCCAGGGCGCCGGGAGCAGAAAATCAATATTTTCGAAAGAAAAATATGTCTTGGAGTGGCCTTTTTTCGGCACCGCCTCGGAATTCAATTTTCCGGCGCCGGCCGGCGCCGGAACCGGCCCGGGCGCTGGCCCGGGTGCTGGCCCAGGCGTTCGGCTCGAGCGCCGGCCCGGGTGCCGGAAGCGGCCCGGAAGGGGTTCCCGGGCGCCGGGAGCAGAAAATCAATATTTTCGAAAGAAAAATATGTCTTGGAGTGGCCTTTTTTCGGCACCGCCTCGGAATTCAATTTTCCGGCGCCGGCCGGCGCCGGAACCGGCCCGGGCGCTGGCCCGGGTGCTGGCCCGGGCGTTTGGCTCGAGCGCCGGCCCGGGTGCCAGAAGCGGCCCGGAAGGGGTTCCCGGGCGCCGGGAGCAGAAAATCAATATTTTCGAAAGAAAAATGTGTCTTGGAGTGGCCTTTTTTCGGCACCGCCTCGGAATTCAATTTTCCGGCGCCGGCCGGCGCCGGAACCGGCCCGGGCGCTGGCCCGGGTGCCGGCCCGGGCGTTTGGCTCGAGCGCCGGCCCGGGTGCCGGAATCGGCCCGGAAGGGGTTCCAGGGCGCCGGGAGGAGAAAATCAATATTTTCGAAAGAAAAATATGTCTTGGAGTGGCCTTTTTTCGGCACCGCCTCGGAATTCAATTTTCCGGCGCCGGCCGTGCTCCTGCGCGGTCTGCCGTGCTCCTGTGGCGTCTGCCGTGCTCCTGTGTGGTCTGCCGTGCTCCTGTGGTCTGCCGTGCTCATTTGGGGTTTCCCGCGAGCTTGTGGGGTCTGCCGTGCTCCTGTGGGGGAAACGCCAGCGGCGTTCGGGGTACAACAAAAGGCGCGTTTATGTTGTACCTGCGCGCGGTCTGCCGTGCTCCTGTGGGGATTGCCGTGCTCCTGTGTGGTCTGCCGTGCTCCTGTGTGGTTTGCCGTGCTCCTGTGGTCTGCCGTGCTCCTTTGTGGTTTGCCGTGCTCCTGTGGGGTCTGCCGTGCTCCTGTGGGGTCTGCCGTGCTCCTGTGAGGTCTGCGGTGCTCTTGTGTGGTCTGCAGTGCTTCTGTGGTCTGCCGTGCTCATTTGGGATCTGCCGTGCTCGTGTGGTGTCTGCCGTGCTCCTGCGGGATCTGCTGTGCTCGTTGTGTCGTCTCTTTGGTCTGCCGTGCTCCTTTGTGGTCTGCCGTGCTCTTGTGGGGTCTGCCGTGCTCCTGTGTGGTCTGCCGTGCTCCTTTTTTTCCGCCTGCCGTGCTCCTGCTCATTTTCTGAGGACGTCCCGAGCGAAAACGTCATTTTTAACATAAGAGGTTGTAAAACACCTCTGTCGGCATCTCATTTGTTCGAGGATGTCTCGAGCGAAACGCTCATTTTTCATGCATAACAAAAAATTTTGATATTTTTCAACATCCCGATTGTTTGAGGATGTCTCGAGCGAAACCGTCATTTTTAACATAAGACGTCTTAAACGATAGCCTCCAACACCTCGATTTTTCGAGGATGTCTCGAGCGAAATGGCCATTTTGGGGAACCTGACCGGACAAGAACGGGAAGCGTCCTCTTGTCCCCTGGGCTTATGAGATATTCCACGTTTTTAGTACGGCATACCACAGCAGTGCCACGTACCACTGCCGTGTTCCTTTGGGGTCTGCCGTGCTCCTGTGGAGTTTGCCGTGCGAACGTGTGGTCTGCCATGCTCCTGTGTGGTCTGGCGTGCTCCTGTATGGTCTGCCGTGCTCTTGTGTGGTTTGCCGTGCTCCTGTGTGGTCTGCCGTGCTCCCGTGGGGTCTGCCGTGTCCTGTGTGGTGCTGCTGCCGTGCTCCTGTGTGGTCTGTCCCTGCTCCTGTGTGGTCTGCCGTGCTCCTGTGGTCTGCCGTGCTCCTGTGGGTCTGCCGTGCTCCTGCTGCTGTGTCTGCCGTGCTCTGCCGTGTGTGAGCTGTGAGCTGCGGGGCCTATGAAGGCAAAAAGGAGCCCGAGGCCCACGGAGCCCGTTGGCCCCAGGGCCTCAAGGGCCAACCCTAGGGACCCCGAAGGAGCCACCGCAGGGGAGGGCGCGAAGCGCCAGACGCGCGAAGCGCAAGATTTCAAAGAAACCAAAATCAAAGGTGCAGGAAACGGGAAACACACACGCATTGCAACAGCCGTTGCCGCGCTCCTGTGTGGTCTGCCGTGCTCCTGTGTGGTCAGCCGTGCTCCTGAGGCGTCTACGGTGCTCTTTTGGGGTCTGCCGTACTCATTTGGGGTCTGCCGTGCACCTGTGGTCGGCCGTGCTCATTTGGGGTCTGCCGCGCGCCTGTGAGATCTGCCGTGCTCCTGTTGGGGAAACGCCAGCGGCGTTCGGGGTACAACAAAAAGGCGCGTTTATGTTGTACCCGCGCGCGGTCTGCCGTGCTCCTGTGGGTTCCGCCGTGCTCCTGTGGCGTCTGCCGTGCTCCTGTGGCGTCTGCCGGGCTCCTGTGTGGTCTGCCGTGCTCCTTTGTGGTCTGCCGTGCTCCTGTGGAGTCTGCCGTGCTCCTGTGTGGTCTGCCGTGCTCTTGTGGTCTGCCGTGCTCATTTGGGATTTGCCGTGCTCATGTGGGGTCTGCCGTACTCCTGTGTGGTCTGCCGTGCTCCGGTGGTCTGCCGTGCTCCTTTGGGGTCTGCCTTGCTACTGTGGGGTCTGCCGTGCTCCTGTGTGGTCTGCCGTGCTCCTGTGGTTTGCCTTGCTCCTGTGTGGTCTGCCGTGCTCCTTTTGGGTCTGCTCTGCCGTGCTCCTGTGGGGTCTGCCGTGCTCCTGTGGGGTCTGCCGTGCTCTTGTGGGGTCTGCCGTGCTCTTGTGTGGTCTGCCGTGCTCCTTTGTGGTCTGCCGTGCTCCTGTGTGGTCTGCCGTGCTCCTGTGTGGCCTGCCGTGCTCTTGTGTGGTCTGCCGTGCTCCTGTTGGTCTGCCGTGCTCTTCTGTGGTCTGCCGTGCTCCTATGGGGTCTGCCGTGCTCCTGTGGGGTCTGCCGTGCTCATGTGTGGTCTGCCGTGCTCCTGCGCGGTCTGCCGTGCTCCTGTGGCGTCTGCCGTGCTCCTGTGTGGTCTGCCGTGCTCCTGTGGTCTGCCGTGCTCATTTGGGGTTTCCCGCCAGCTTGTGTGGTCTGCCGTGCTCCTGTGGGGGAAACGCCAGCGGCGTTCGGGGTACAACAAAAGGCGCGTTTATGTTGTACCTGCGCGCGGTCTGCCGTGCCCCTCCTGTGGGGATTGCCGTGCTCCTGTGTGGTCTGCCGTGCTCCTGTGTGGTTTGCCGTGCTTCTGTGGTCTGCCGTGCTCCTTTGTGGTTTGCCGTGCTCCTGTGGGGTCTGCCGTGCTCCTGTGGGGTCTGCCGTGCTCCTGTGAGGTCTGCGGTGCTCTTGTGTGGTCTGCAGTGCTTCTGTGTCTGCCGTGCTCATTTGGGATCTGCCGTGCTCGTGTGGTGTCTGCCCTGCTCCTGCGGGATCTGCTGTGCTCCTTGTGTCGTCTCTTTGGTCTGCCGTGCTCGTGTGGGGTCTGCCGTGCTCCTGTGTGGTCTGCCGTGCTCCTGTGGTCTGCCGTGCTCCTTTGGGGTCTGCCGTGCTCCTGTGTGGACTGCCGTGCTCCTGTGGGGTTTGCCGTGATCCTGTGTGGTCTGCCGTGCTCCTGTGCGGTCTGCCGTGCTCTTGCGGGGTTTGCCGTGCTCCTGTCGGCTCTGCCGTGCTCGTTTTTGGTCTGCCGTGTTCCTGTTGGGTCTGCCGTGCTCTTGTGTGGTCTTCCGTGCTCCTGTGTGGTCTGCCGTGCTCCTTTGGGGTCTGCCGTATTCGTGTGGGGTCTGCCGGGCTCCTGTGTGGTCTGCC